CAATTTTAAACAAATTAAATTTGAAAAACTAAATTCTTAGTAAATGCCTGTGTCAATACAACTATTTAGGTACAAAAACAACTAATGATCAAAACCCTACAACGCCTGTGAGCTTGGGAAAAATTAATTGAAAATAGCATCTTCTTAGATAACAAATTCCGCCAACGCCAAAGCAATGAAGCTTTCGAGCTGAAATTTTTACCACTTATTAAGGGTGTAAAAAGCCTAAAAAATCTTGAATTACAAGTGTCTGCGATGAAAATTGCATTAATTATTAGCAATTGAGAGAAACAGCAATTTTCGACCATTTTTGAGCTCTTGTGCATAAACAAGTTATCGGAATTTAATCGGACTTTTTTCATTTTATAGGCTTATTTAATACCTACCTTTTTTGTATAAACTTTTTTCGCTATGAGTAATAGCTTTTTTACGTGAGTCAAAAAACCACTTTTCCATAACTTTGACCACTGTTAAAACAAAATTTCCCAACTAGCCTCGAGTTGATTTTTTGATATTTTATTTATAACAGGTTTCCGAACAATATTCCGTAGAGAAACTTCTAATAGTATTTTTTTCCCGAAACAAGCTCTTTCATGTCTATAATGACTGGGCTAAATAAATAAAAAAAGGTATGCTTTACGCAACTTATATTTAGAGCAATTTATTTTTCATTTTCCTGATTTGAAAATTGCCATAACGCCATCACTGTAACAAAAGCAACCATGCCTATTACTGTCGTTACTATCATCGACAATTTCTGCCGGCACGTGTTTCAAATTGAATAACCGTATCGCATTTTTCAACTGTAATGGGTCGGAACTAGTAAAAAAATTAAATATTTATGATGCCTAATGAAGTAGGCACATCTTCGTTATGAATGGTCATACGTATATGGAAATATCAATTTACATAAATTATTAGAATCGGCTACTACAATAAGGTTGTGTAACTGTCACCGCGTTTATTACATTAGCCTGGTCGGTTCTGATAGAGTTCCTATGAACATATGAATTAGAGGAAATGTGGAGCACTTTGTGAGGAAGCTATTTGTTAAGTGGTTTCTCTTTACGGGAAATATTGTTTACTTGGCGGGATTCCTGCGAGTTGTTGGGAAATTTGTGGGAAAAACCGATTTATACAACACGTGCTGGTCGAAAATTATTTGTGACAGGGTCTAGGTTCTTTTATTTAATAGGGTATTTTTCTCACTTTCGAAAACATTGCAAAGTTGAATTCAAGCCAAACTGTTCAGTCAGAGGTGTTGAAATGTATTTTTTTATAGCTAAAAAATGTAACCTTAACCCCACACTTGACTTAACCCCACACATTTATACCTTCGTAAGTTGCTGTTGATAAATAAAAGAGCCTGATAAACTCAGTGGATAGGTATAGTACCAAAAATCAATTAGGATTGTATCAAGTTTCCTTTGTCGATTGGACAGCTGATTCTTTCTATTGAGTGGCGCCGGGAGACAGAATGCATTTTACTTTAGTAGTAATTCTAAAAGGTATTTCTTCAACATCTGGGGACGGCTACGGTCTATTGTCAATAAAATATTGTACTGAGTACCTGCAAGGATATCTTTCCATTTTCTAGAAAGGCTAGTAAATATTTGTCGTAAATATTTTCCAGTAACCATTAAAAGGGTCAAGAAAGAATTAATTCAACCTTTGTTATTTACTTACTAGCCTAGTTACTGTAGCTGAAAATATAGTATATACCTCCGAATTTTTTATAACTCCATCGATTTTTATTAAAATTTATAATTAGGCTCATCTTACCCACCACTTCAAAACTTATATACACGGAAAAATTGTTGGAAAAAAAGAAAAAATACAAATTTAAGTATTTTATGTAATCAAATATTTTTTATTTGTGCAGTATGAGTAATTTCATGTGCTATCTAACATGAAACTTAATGTATCCCAAATTTTCAACCCGGAAAAACCTTTAAAAACCACCCCTTTGGATGAAGATAATATAAAAAAAAATTTCAACTTTAAACGTTTTAATCATGCATTTTTATCAAATTAAAATTGATATCTTGATTAAAAAATCTTTTTTATCAATTGCAACTTTTCAACCTTTGAAAAGAAGTAGAAAAGAGTAGAAACATTGTAAATGTGCAATCGTATTTAATAAACATTTGTTCCCTTATTATCATATAGTAGTTATAATATAGTATAGTACTGATTTTTTCGAATATACACATACTAAATACGTATATATTCAAAAAAGATCTAGATGCTTCAAAATTCTTGTTTGACCTAAATTTTCCTAAAATTATCACCTATACACGTGTTTATTTTTTTGACGATAACTTTCTTACTTTTTAAGATTTTTAATCGCACAAAGGCTCATTTTGCAGGGAATTGTAAGGGCTACGTGAACTGTTGAGTTGATCTTTTTTAAGCCCTTCATTTTTAAGTTTGAAGGGTCTAAAGGGCTCGAAAAGAGTAGTTCTCTCATTCATATGATAACTTAAAATGGCGATATCTCGATTAATATTAATATATTTTAGAGGAATAAAAAATAAAGCAAAATATTCAGCAAAAAGAAAGCTACATTTTTTTACTCTTGTATTTTTTTCGTACACCTTTTAATTTTTAAGTTACAGCGTAAAAATCGAAATTTTTTAAAAAATTTGAAAAATTAACATTTTCAGAAATTAAGTTTTTTTTTGAAATCAGCTTTGTAAGTGAGCCAAAGACCCATAACATATTCTTAGAACATAAATGAAGAAATATGTAAATGGATTGCATTTAATTTTAGTTCTGTCGCCAAAGGCACTGATTTGTTTATTAATTTTTTCTTAAAAAAATGAGTATCATGTTATTTCGATCATATTTCCGTTAATTTTGATTCTAAAGACTTTTAAAACAGCTCATTTTAAAGGTTTTTCAAAGTACTTTAAAAAAGGTTCAAATAATTTTTTTCCTAATATTTATAGTTTTGGCGTTATTTAACGTTAACTGATTCCAATTTAGTTTTTAACTAACATATAATAATGTTTAAAAATCCATACCTCGGTATATATTGCAATTAAAGAAAAACAAAATAATGCCATTATATTTGTTTTTTTATTACCTTTCTCTTTGTTCATTATAACTTCTTCGTTAAATCCAATGGTTGCAGAGTTATTTGCAAAAAACTGTCCGAAAACAAGCACTTTTTCAGTAAAAAATCAACATTTTCAATGTCGAGTTATTCGGAAAGTATTGGATTATCCAAATTGACTCTTCTATCGATTCCTGTGGTTATTTTAGGCGTAAACATTTCCACCCCCAGGGCAAAAGCACACTTCGGCAAGCAGAAAATTGTCTGTAGATGTTGTTTATTTAATACCTAGAGGTAATTGTTCCGTATTCCCAATGATTATGGCTATTATCATTTTACCTTACTCGTGAAGTCGGTGATACCTAGACAGAAAGCGCTACTTCTTTCCCAACCAATATTGGAGACGATTCCTAGATTAACAGTATTTTGAAAGAACCCCGCACTGGCTTTATGAAAATGTGAGCTCGATCAAATTGGCTGAAATTGTGAGCAAGTGTTGATTTTGTGTTACCGACCAAAAGTTTTCATAGTACTTGAATCCGAAAAGCAACTATTTCCTAGTTCTAACGGTCTGAGTCAGTTCTGCTGGTGGTGGCTGCAAAGTAGTGTAAGTAGAATATTGCAATAAGAGCAGTAACTTTTGTGAAATGTTTATAGAAAAAATTAATCGTGTGACTTCGTTGTTGCTAATTAACATTTTTGATATGTGCCAAATACCAAACTGGACGCTGTATCGGTCCCAAACCCTGGGCCCCATCATTCAAAAGATGAGGAAGAAGGAGGGATAGAACTTATATTAAAACCTAGGTCACTCTGACTCTGAAAGTAGCACCATATAGTTTTTGAAAGATAAGATTGATTATTGCTTTATTCAATTCACTTATTCGAAGTCATCCGATTATTGTTTCTATAAACATTTCACAAAATTTACTGTTTTTACTGCAATATTCTACTCATACTACTTTGTAGCCATCATCAGTAGAACTGACTCAAACCGCTATAAGTAGGAAGGAATTGATTTTCGGATTCAAGTACTGTGGAGAATTTTGGTCAGTAATACAAAACCACAATTTCATCCATTATGATCGAGCCCACATATTAATAAAAACTGTGCAGGATTCTTGGTTATTAAGTTCTTAACAGTCCACTGTTTTCTTCTACTAACTCTTGAACTGTTGTCATATTTTTTTGCAATTCACATCATGAGAGTGTAAATAATAGGTAATAATCTTTGGTCGACGATATAAATGTTGGACTTTTGATCACTCTTTCCTTCTTGGTGTACCTTTAGCTTCTTTGAGTTTCCGTAAATCTGAAAATAAAGTATTTTTCTCCTGATGTGTCACATTGTTTAATATCCGAGTTTTCTTTTTTGTAGCTTCTAAATTCTTGGTTCCCTTATGAGAGGAATGATGGTAATTTTTTATGATCAGTGAGGTTTCCAAAGTTCGTATACTAGTATCAGAAATCTCTACTGTATTCCTGCTGGTATGTACTTAATATCCGATGGTAAATGTTCAGTATTGTTAATCAATATCATTTTACATTATATTAAATCATCATCAGTTAACTTAGTAGTGGACCAAAATTTACTACAGTATTGAACTGGTATATTGATTATTGATAGTAGATTCATCCGAAACAAAGTATCACAGGTTTCTTCTTGAATGATGCTTACCATATTTTATAATATTGGAGTTTCCTTTTCATAATGAAGCGAGTGGTGGTAATTTTTTTTTTATTTTAGTTGATTTTTCGCTACCAATGCAGTCTCGAGGCCTAATTACACGAGAACAAGGTACTGCCTTGTTTCCGAGCTGGCTTCTTGTCCGTATCGTCGCCCAGCTGATAGTCTAATATCAGTCAAGTCGACTCGGGCTCCGCGTTTCGCCGTTCACTTGTTTCGCGTCGCACGGTTCTCTGCCGGACGGTCGCCGGCTCGACAGTCAGTTGTTTTGTAACTTTGGTCCGTGGCTGACGGTTGGCGCTTGAGAAAGATCGCTAAGCAGGCCATGCTCTGCCGATTCGTGGAAAATTTTGCACCGAGTACTATGTGAATGGTAGTGAAACAGGAGCGTTACGTATTCGCTTTATTATTTGTGTTTCTTTTTTTATGTTAGTGGCAGTGTTTTGGTTTCGCCGGTTTTGGATTACTTCAGGTGTTTGATGGTAATTTTTTTTTGTTGTATTTTCGCTGACCGGGGATGCGTGCGGATGGTACAGTTCTAATAGAAATGTTGATCGGTCTAGCAGGCGATAATTGGGCAGGAAAATATTTTGCGCTTTTTATATAGCGTCTGCTATAGAGCGTCTGCTGTTTGATTTTCGCTATTTGGGTTTCATAATAATAAACACAATTTCTCCAATGTAACCGAGGGAAAAACCATAATAAAATTGTTCAGTAGCAAATTATCGATGTGGAAACATATCTTTTAAAACTTGTACAAGTTTGTGTAAACAAAAAATCTTTTAGTATAATAAAACCCGCTGTTTAGCAATTGAAACGTTACATTTCAGATCTCCTGATAACGTATAAGTTGATAAAGTAATCGAAATGTGCAATAATTGGGGTAGCTGCAAATTGTGTGTAGCTTGGTGACGCAAATGCCATAAAGCGTATTTTTTATTTTATAGCGAATCTATAAAGCTCAAGTTTAACGTTCTCGTAAATACCGCTGGCCTTGATTCAGGAACTGTTCGTAGAAAAAAAAATTGATATGCAATCATAATCGTAATCCGTAGAATGAATACTTACTAAAATGTTTTTTCTGGTTTTACACTTTCGCTCCTAATCAGATAACAGTTGTTCCGTATTATTTTACAAACGGTTTTTTCCCCAAAATGTGACGAAATATTTGGCAAGCTGCTGACTGACTTTGTTTAAATTCGAGGTTAAGTCGCTGTTAGGAAGGTCATGGAAAAATAAATTCAGTAAATGATAATGGTAGATAATCAGCGTTGACCTGGTTTTCCTCAAATTACTTAAATCCGATTTTAAAATAATTTTTTTTATTTAAATATATGTTTACGTACTCCTAAAACTGAAAATATATTTTTTTAAAATCGTACACACAGGTACAATTGTTTTTGAATATATTTATTTTTTATTTCAATGAATACTCACTTGTCAGTAGGAAAATATGAATAAAACTTTTCCAGATGTTCATTCATTAAATAGTTCGTATAGGCGTTAAAGTGGGAAGTACAAATGTTTTTTTAACGCTTGAATAATTTAAGATAAATCACACTGGAATAAAAATATGTTTCCCCCTATTTTGTGATTCTTTAATAAAAAATTGTGCCAGTTTGGTAGTGGGAAAGTTACAATTAACATATTTCGTCAAGTGATGAAATAATTTGTGTATATAAAAGTGTCGCATTTATTTCACTCGAGGTTTTATTCTACACCAAGAAAACAGTTTGTTTATCTAATAGATAATTTCTCTTTGCGTACGTCGTTCTTTGGTATGAATTAAAATTCACGAAATCTGTAATAAAATTTTTATTATTATTCATAAGACAACCAGCGTAACCTCGAGCATAACTATAAAGAAATGAACATTAAATGAATACATTTGTTAAGTTTTTTTCGACAAATGTTAATACCAAGGAAAGCTTAAAAATGTTACTCTTAAAAAATTTTCAAAATTCTTAGAACCTTTCAATAAAAATTATAATTGTGGTCCAATAGTTTTCAGTTTAATTTTCCTCTTGTTTTAATTATAAACTACCGAAAATATTGTTAATCTTGCTTGTCTTTTGAAGCAGTGATTAAATAAAGTAAGAACTCATCAACTCAAGATAGTCCAGGCGTTTTTATTTGAAGTAATCTATTTAGTTGTAAAGAAAAATCTCAAATATTTGTAGAATCAGAATCCGAGTTTGCCTATTTCAAAAAACCATTGCTAAATTCAGGGGAACAACAAACATACAAAAGAAACGAAAAATTACCCGTTTTTCGACATATTTTTCCATGTAACTTTGAAAGTAAGCCCTAAATAAAAAAAGTCATTCTTTATTTTTTGTTAACTGCGAATAAAAAAGTTGAATTTTGCATTAACAATGGGCGAAAAATAGTAGACAATCATATGTATATTTGGAGCAGTTTTTAAAATAAGTAAATATTTATAAATATTGATGAAACTTTGTGAACAAATAGTACAAGATATCTCAATTCTACCTTAAAAAGTTTGCAATGATCGATCGCGTGGTTTTCGATTGACAGGATTGTTAAAGAAAATTTCAAAAAGTTTATCGCGTACCTTGGATTTAAATTAAGATTTAGAAAGGGCACACAATTTTTTAGAGATACTTGTCATAATAAATAATGATCAATACTAAAAATACCTATTTTTACACCATTTTTAGATTTTTTTTTTAATTTTTAGTCTATAAACAATTATTTATTCGTATTCCTCTTATTTTGCTATATCAAATTAAAAAAAAATCGTCTTGATAAGTGCTACCCTTCTCGAGAAAAGTCATATTTTATCGCGCATACGCATTTTGAAACCAAGCGGCGCGCGGCAGCGCAGCTGCTCTCAGTCATCCTCACTCCCGCTCTGCCGAGAAATTCCAGTGAAAAACTAAACTTCTGTGCAAAAAAAAACTGTAGGGAAAAGCTTCTAAAACTTAGTTTAACTAACGAAAAAATTATGTAGGCATTTGTAACAAGTTGAAAACAGCTTTTCTTAACAAAAAGTATAAATACAGAAATCTGTCTAGGGCTCATTATTTGAGTTCTTACATTTAACTTGGCATTTAACTTACTTAAACAGTGTTTATTTTCCAATCTTTCCCTCCAGTGGCGTGCCAGGATTTTTCCTGTAGGAATACTTATAACTTTAAAACTCTTAACAGTAAAAATGTTATGAAGTTCATAAAAAATATTTGAAAAAGCGATTCCTTGAATAATTTAACAAAAACAAATATTAATTATTCGTGCGTGTAAAAGAAAAAAATGCACGGGAAGTTCTAATGTCTGACCCCCAAAACCAGCTGCTACACTCTCTTTCTTCAAAGGGCGTAGCCCCCAATTAAAATCGTATTTCTTGGACTGCCACTCTTAATTTACCGGTCTGCATCCACGAATCCGGTAATCCTTCCGCTTTGGGTCCCTAATTCGTGCGCCTAATCTGTTAATCTGGGTTCGGGACGGCACGCTATGTCAATAACTCCCGGAACGCGTTTGGAGCGGCGCGCATGGCCACCTTTTCCAACGCAGAAAAACCTCGAGAAAAACAGTCGCGTAACGAAAGGTGGCTCATTGATTTCCGAAGCCAGTCAAACGTGTCAAGATATTAATGTTAGGTAACACACACAAAATGCTTTACATGTATTAAAAAATCTGATAATAACAGACAATTTTCTGAAATGGACAAAGTTCAAATTACAACGTAAGTTATTTCACAACGAATTCATGGAGAGGATTTCTAAAAATTGTGCAATAGTGAGTAATGTGTTCCATATTTTCTATGACATTAATAAATGTGTATATGTGCACTACACATTATTATATACTCTGTAAATATTACCTGAAATTATTAAGATATAGAGGTTAAATAAAAACAATTGCCTGTACTTTGTTCTATGAAAATCTATTGTTGATGTATAGGGTGGTTTTCGATTTTATTTCATTTATTTTACCCTTCGATTTATATGCAGAGATTAAAAAACATCTGTATTAGCGGCGACGTGGAAAATTGTTGCAATAAAGGAGTGGCGTACGACGTATTCCATCCACCTTATCTTTTTTGGCCTCCTTTATGGAATGTATCCACTGAAGTTTTAGAAAAAATAAATAGGTAAAACTGCGTGAAATTTAGATAGAAAGAATGAATTTGGCTGGAAGGAATAAGACTTAGGCACGATTTGAGATAGTGGCTTCTGAAGCGTTTCCATTGCGGTGTCCAGTAGGCCTTTGTGGGTGGAGCTGTCTCAGATGCAAACTTATTTGTGTTGGTCTGTATATATATATAAAACAATGTTTTGTTTCGGAGATAAGTATACACCAAACTCATGTTTTTTTTTTAATGAAACCCCTTGTATATATATAGTTTCTTTAATCCTTTCCTTTTTGTTATTACAACCATATATACAGGGTGTCGCAATTAAATGTGATACAAGCCTGTAACTTCTTTGTCTTTTACCGATTTCAAATTTTTTTTTTTAGAATGTAAGGTAAACAAAACTAACTGTGATACTGCTGTTTTTATTAATGCAATACCTACACAGCCAATTAAGACGGTTTTTTTTCCAAAAAACAGATTACGTATTCTCATTCAGCCTATACCCTATAACGTCTTATCACCAAGTTTCATCAAATTCGATACATCTTCAGGCGAACACTAAGTTGGTTGTGTATTGCATTAATAAAAACGGCAGAATCACAGTTAGATAGTTTTTTTACCCTGCATTCAATAAAAAAATTATTTAGATCGGATTAAAAATGTGTGAAGATATTATTGAAGGTATTCAATTAAAATATACAGAGTGATTCGATATTTTTACCATAGTTTACACGCAGAAAACACTGTGATAGAAATTCTTGAAATCGTAACAGGTACAAATTGTATTAAATTTTCATAAAATATTCTTTGAAAATTTTTAGAAAATCTAAAATTTGTTGGCAATAATTTTATAAATAGCGGACAATTGGAGGGCTCGGAAGTCAATCAGTGTAAGTCACTTTTCAAATTGAGTTATGTATTGATGTTATATGTTATATGTTATATCTCAATAAAAATAATTAAGTATTACTTAGTATCTTTACGGGAATCTATATTTTATTACAAGTTTTACAAATAGCCAATTTTTTCATTTTCTATATTCAGTGACTTACACTGATATTGGCTTCTGAACCCTCCAGTTGTGTAAATTTTCATGATACTGTTTTTTCCGTCTAGGAACAAACAAAATATGATGATAGTTTGTTGGTTACATTTTGAAAAATTTTGGATTTTTTCCGAATACTTATTTTATCATGAAATTTTTTTTATTTATTGTAAATGCTTTGTTTTCTAATTTGCCAAGTGTACTTTCAGTTTTTTGGTTTTATTCGAGTCACAGAAAAAGGGGATAGCAGATGTCTTTATTAAAAAAAAATGGACGCTCGACTGAGTAAATACAAAAGCTACAATATTTTCAAAATCAATAAAATTAAATTTCAG